GGTATGGAAGCTACTTAAAATTCTACGTAATCCGAGCCGGGGCGTTCTGGTATAGAGCTTCCGAAAACACAACGTGGTTAGAACGGCTAGAAGAGGCTCCTTAGGCTCTCCATGGTTAGCCTCCCGGAACTCTTCTAATAACAGCATTAGCAAGGCTTTATGCAGAGTTTGTATACACTATTAGAACACAAGCAGGGTCTGACTTTCTAGAAGATTTTTGGGAAGTTACAATAGAGGTAGACGGATGGAGCAACGGCCTCAGGTGTGCAGGAGACGTTTTGTATATTTCTTCAGACAGATCTAACAACATTATCCGGGCACCCAAACCCCTTTCGTATCTATGCTTTAAAAATGGTGTTAGGAGCTTTTGCAGAGAACTGACGAAAGAAAAGTTTATGTAATATTTATGAAGCTAGCCTAGCGTCGATTAAGGCCTTCCATTAAGCTTGAGGTCGATAGTGGCTGCAAAGGAAGCGATCGAAAGATTAGCAAAGAAATGGTTTATCCACCTTTCATTGAATGCCAGGTATTATAGACATCGAAGACAGCATATGAATTCACTTAAGATGTAGTCGGTTTAGAACATGATGTAATTGTGTACTCACTAGTCCCTCTCAGAGAAGTGAAACAAGAAGACAATAAAACTCAGACTGCAGATTAGCGAAAATGATGTGCAAAACATATGACATATATCTCACCAAGTACCTACTGCGGGCATTGTGTGTCGGCGTCCCATGCTTCCATGCCTTCAAGTTAGGCATGCTGGGTATATGTGTCACTTGTTAGATTGAGGTTGATCATACTTGATGTGTAACTCCTGAGCTGATGGATCTTCCATCAGCAATGGAAGATGTATGAAACCCCTACCCCAAAATGCTAAGAGAACAGTATTGTTTTCAAATTGGAGCCGGAAGAGTACGGGTATAGAGCTTGACTCACAAATCTGTTCGCTCTGTGGACGTGGTTTCGTTTATTTGAAGTTCAACTTAAGCTTACCTAATCTCTCCCTATTTCTACAAAGTTAAATCAGGTTTTTGGTAAGAAACAGTGAATATTACATGAGTCCCGGATCAAAAAGATAATGAAAAAGCGCATGAGCTGGCACGGGCTGATGTTGTAATCATCGATTGCCTCAGACCTTTCAGCAACTTGAAATGTTTACTAAAGCAGTGCACGATGGAGTAACACTTAAGGTCCTGGAACAGTACAACCGTAGGACGTACCCCCAAATTATAGTGGGTCAGTGTGGATTGTAGACATATCAAACTATTACTGAACTTTAAGAAAACGAGTACTTGGTATTCTTGTGGGTGTATTGACGTCGCGTCTACCGCTGAGATATCATCTCCACAAGTTAGGTAAAGTGAAATCGGTTAAATGCTGGCATGCACAGAAGATGACGAAACGCTGTAGAACTACCTTTTCGTGTGTCCGGCCTCCAGCCGATAGTGATGCTCACGCTGCCCCCAGATTCAACCTTGCGGTGGGGAAAAAACATTGTCTGGTCCTCAAACAACCTTTTCCATCAACAAACCAAGCAACCATTTCCACAAAGCAATGTACACACTTCTACGTGAGTACACTAATATGTTCTTTTAATATGAACGCCGAGCAATTGATTTCTTTCCGCCAGCCCCTTTGAATATTGGGCTTATTTTTTGAAATCATAGAACTTTCGGAAATGACGGCGGCTTCGGAAATCACTGCGCGCGCTTGACTTAACTCTTTCTATCGAGGGAGATCACGTTTTTGCGCATTACAATAATAATAATCAATATAAGTTTTTTTTTGTAACGTTGTCAATTTTCTTATTGCCTTGAAATAAAAACCAAGAAAGAGAAAGAAAGTTTAATTAGAAAAAAAACCTATTTAAAATATATATTTGAAAATTTTTTTCTCAAAAGATATAGAAAACGCAATTTCATTTAAAATGAATTAAGTAATAGACAAAAAGTTTTTTTTTCTGTTTTCAATACAGCAGAAGTGTGAAAATTAAAAGATTAAAAATAAACATCATACGTAAGCAAAATCTCATACTTTTGCCCACGTACACACACACACATATATATATATATATAATATATTTGTAAATATGTATGTATATCATTAAATATGTATCTAAATCACATCGAAATATGCGCAGACTTTTTGTTTTTGAAAATTTCTTTTACGATTTCATTCTTCAACATTCGCCACTCGCCAACACGCTAACGCTCGCTAGCGATATTTTCGTGAACGTCATCGGCCAATGTGGCGATTATGATAGCAGTTAGTTTGTTTGTTTGTTTGTCGGTTGCTTGGTTGCTTGCTACGCCTGTCTTATTTTGCTTGAGCTAAATTTGTCGAATGCGTGGGTTTGAGTGGATTGATCATGAGCATGATTATGATGTGACCATTGCCGAAGATGATGATAATCCAATATATGCACATATGACTAGTGTGTAGTTACATAAATATACATATGTACAAATGTACATATTTATTTATATTTTTTATTTGTTTGTGTGTAGGTTTATTTGTACGCACGTGCGTATATTTATATGAATTTACTCGTATGGACTTATGCTCGATGTTGGTGGTAATTTTTTATGTCATTTTTGTCGATTTTATACCGAAGTATTTGGTTATAGGAATTTTTTTTTTTTGGAAAAAAATAAAATTAAAAAAACAAAATTAAATTAAATTTAAAAAAAATAAAAATATAAAATTAAAAACAAAATAAAATAAAAAAATAAGAAAAAAAGATTAAAAAAAATAAAAAAAGATAAAATAAAATACAAAAATTAAAAATATAACGTTTTTTTTTTTAATTTAAAAAATATTGAAAAAAATTATTAAAAGAAAAAATATTAAAACAATTAAAAATATTAAAATTATAGAAAATATTTTTCGTGCGTACAAAATATCCTCAATAGTAAAATTTTGCGTGAAAGAATATTCCCGAAGGATAAGTCAGTGCTTTATTAGCAAATTGGCGTTTAGCTTCTCAACACAAGTCTCTATTTAGCTCAATATACTTAGCGGCGTATTTTCAATTTTTTTCATCTTTTTCCGCGATTTTAGCCGAGCTAACGGTAGTTTCTCCTTATCGCTATTTGTCGTCTATTGGAAATACCAAGTTGAACTAGCTCTTAATGCTCCCGATCTTTCCAACGTAGTGGAGGTGTTGCTCATTCCCTTCTTCGACCAATGCGTAGCGTAGAGATCTCTTGTGTTTAATCTTTGTTCGTCGGGTTAATCATCTCTGGGTGCTACACTTTCCCTAACATTCAGTAGGCTGGGGACGTGTTAAATAAACTGCTTAATAAACTCGGTGTGTACTGGATCTCACCATGTTACTTCCTTGGTTTTTTTTTCTGTAAGAATTTTCGAGCTGTAACCCTGTCGACAACTTCTCACATTTCGGCCTCTTTTTTCTGTAAGAAAAGACATCTCGCTACCCTTTTCAGGGTTGGCATCTATTTCATAACGCACGTATTGTGGTCGATTGAAATAACAGTTGTTCTTTTCGACCTTTCCGAAAGCTAATAGTTTCTCCTACCATTCGTAGGGAGGCTGCAATGCTTTTACACAATTTTTTTATGTCTCAGAGAGCGGCGTTTTTACGTCAAGCCTTTTTGTGTTTGCCAATGGAAATTCTAAGCGGCACAGAGGCGGTTGCGTATCTGAGTCTATATTAGGTCCTCGGAACGTTCGCGCATCTATAACATAACATAACATAACATATTTTCCATCTAACACCAAATGATCGATTTTCGATCCGGAGGCAGCCACGTTGGAATCTTTATCTCAACCCGTTTGGGATATTTCATCGTGGTGGGTAGATAACTGTTAATATGACTTCTTTGCCCGTCCTGTTTTTAATTATCGCAAGTAAGATTTTGAATTCGTGGCGGTGAAGATAAGGCGCTCAAAGAAAATGTCTTGGGTGACATAGTCCCTCCGTCACATACACGTATGCAACAACAAACTTTCGCTCTTGGTAGTGAATTTCTAATGGACTCAGATTTTTTCGATCTTGTTCTCAGACTTAAATCTTAGACGATCAATAAATCAGCTAAACAATGACACCTTCCCAATAAAAGAACCACACATCCCAGATGTGCGACCACAAATCGTGAGACTTAAAATGTTTGCGGGAGACGTCATTAAAAGGGTGCACTCTCATTCGAGACCTAGTTTCATTTTTCATTGGAGCTCTAAGCAGAGTGATTCGCCTCCTCACTTTACCTCGCTTGAAAACAGATGTTTGTTTGCTGTCCATAGTATAGTTGATCCAAGAGTGTAAGTCGGAAGGTATTACTGATCACTCGCAGATAAATGGCAGTCAACAAATTTCATCACTTGCGCGAACTTATATGCTCTTTGATACCAAATACTAGAAGGGGGATCTCCTTGTTTATTAATGATCGCAAGTAATATCCATCCAATGGGCGAGATATGATCGCTCTACCGAACTACATGCTCGTGTTCCATTTCGGATAATTTCGACCTGAAGTTAAACCTTCTCCCAAGAGCTCAATCTTTGGTGTCTCCCAATATCTGTTATCGAGATTAAATTGCCCAAGGTGTTACTGCTGAGGTCATGAAAGTGCGCTTTCTGAAAACTATGTTGATTCCAGTGCTCAATCATATTTTTTCAAAATATAAAAAAAAAATTAATTATTTTTTATACTTTTTGAAGCAACCCTTCACACAAACCACCGTCACCTACGCATTTGCTGTCAGCGAGTTTGTTTTATTGTCAAAAGTAAAACTTTTTTCGAAGTAACAAAAAAAATTAAATATACGAATTTTCAAAATTTGTTTTATTTACATATATTTACTATTTTCGGCTACTAGAAGCATATATATATATAGTTTTTTGTATTTTAAACACATTGTTTCTGCGACTTTCTGCGACTTTTCTGCTGAATAGTTAAAAAATTTAAATTTCATTTGCTAAGCGTAAAAGCAAGATTAATATTTTGTCAATTTCTGTTTTTTGAAAAATTTTGCAGTCTACGGCAATTGAGCGTTGCAGCCATAAATAGTTAATTTTCCACGGATTCACAACCAGCGGAGAGTCGAAATATGTACGTGTCGCATGCGGTGCGTTGAGGAAATCTATGGAAAAGTCAACAGCAATAACAATTGTGAACACGCTTGCGGACAAGTTCAAAAGCAGCTGAGGTTTGATTAAGCGTTTTTGAGTGGTGAGATTTATTTCAAAAATTTTTTTTATATTATTTTTTCAATTATTTTAATATTTTTTTTATTAATTCTTTTTAAACTACCACACAGAATTTTAACAAAATCCAAATCCAAATCCGAACCAACTCCCCCAAAGATAACCTGCAAAAAAAAAAAAATTAACCCGTACAAATAAAGAAGATACTCACCTCATACCAATACCATCACCATAATTTCACCACAGTAAATAGCAACAAACACAAAATAGAAACAGTATAGGAAGAAAAAAATGGGCAAAGATTATTATAAAATACTGGGCCTGCCGAAAACTGCCAGCGAAGATGAAATCAAGAAAGCTTACAGAAAACTAGCATTACGTTATCATCCGGATAAGAATAAAGCCGCTAATGCGGAGGAGAAATTCAAAGAGGTTGCCGAGGCCTACGAAGTGCTCTCCGATAAGAGTAAACGTGAGGTTTACGACAAATACGGCGAAGAGGGTCTAAAGAGTGGAGGTACAGTGATAATACTAACCTGCTATAATTAGTATTGATAAAATAAAAAAAATAAAAAAATTCATGAAAAATTATGTAATATATTAAATTTCGAAAATTTTTATATATGTATGTTATTTTAAATTATTTTTTGTTCGAAAATTTTTATTTAATCATTCCACAGGCACTCGCAATGGCTCCACCGGCAATAATACTTTCACATATCAGTTCCATGGTGATCCACGGGCAACCTTCGCACAATTCTTCGGTTCGAGCAATCCCTTTGCGTCCTTCTTCGATATGGGCGATAATCTATTCGATAAGAATGTATTCGATTTAGATACCGAACATGATTTCTTCTCATCGCCATTCGGTGGCTTGGGTTCACGGCATGGACTCGGCAGTGGGTTTAGGTAAGTTGGCTGTGCTGCTGTAGTTGTTGTGGCGAATAACGAAATTTTTTGAAGACAAAGAGGTTGACTTTGGCCAAGGAAGTGTCCTTGGTTAATGAGATTCAAAAATTTGAATTTGTTTTGGGGAGGAGAGGAAGTTTGAGGCCATAAAACCAGTAGCCAACGTAAACGAATAAATATGTATGCTTTCAAGAGCTTTCGGAGGAGTAACCTTCCAACGCTAATAGAAAAACTAATTTTCTACAATTTCTGGATATTGGTTGGAACAGGATTCAATACCTCGATTAGTCTCGATTTTTTTTAAAATTAGTTAGAAGTCCTATTTAATTTATCTACTTCTTATGGGTCCACACTTGAATTCTTAGCTAAAATTAGTGTTCTAATATTTCTTTGATATGATTGTCAAATCTCCTTGTGTTACTAATTCAAAGAATGAAAGAAAAGTTATATCAAAAAGTGCTCTTCAATTCTTTATTCAAATTCAAATTTTCGAAGGTTAATTTCTATCTTCTGTTCTTGAGAAAATTAATTTAGAAGAGAAGGTTTCGAATAAATTCGAGTGCAGAAGAAAAAAACCCAGAACACATCCAAGTTTTTTTTTGCTTTTTTAACGTTTTTCCTCTTCGGCGCTGGTCTCGACAGCTTTTCTGCTGCGGAAGAGCTCGCATAGTGTAGCCTATGCTCTTTTTTAAACAACTAGCTCTCTCTTTATGCAACTAGCTCTCCTCCTCAAATATCATTAAAGCATTCGCTTAAATCCTTCTATCTATCGTCAAAGTCATCCTCTCCAAATAATAATTTGACCTTCGCTTGTAATGGATGCCTAAAAAATAAATCGTAGACCTTCCTTTAGGTCACATTCGTTCAATGTGCATACACCATTCAAAAAAGAGAAACAACAAGACCCACCCGTCGAACATGATCTCTACGTAACATTAGAGGAAATCTATAGTGGTTGTGTGAAAAAGATGAAAATATCACGAAGAGTCGTACAAGCGGATGGATCGTCGAGAAAAGAGGATAAATATGTGAGCATATCGATTAAGCCGGGCTGGAAGTCCGGTACGAAGGTGACATTTCAAAAGGAAGGCGATCAAGCGCCCGGCAAGATACCAGCGGATATTGTATTCATCATCAGGGATAAACCACATGCGATGTTTAAGCGTGAGGGTAGCGATTTGCGGTATACAGCGCGTTTAACGCTCAAACAGGTGAGTGGAAATATGAGAGAGGCTTTCATATATAGGAAGGTTTTTGGAAGTGGATTGAAAAAGGATTAGAGTTTATATTAAGGGTGTTTGACTAAATAATTTCATACATATTTTTTGGTTTATTTTTATTTTTTTTTATTTTAAACTTTTTTTTTTAATTTATATATTTTTTTACGCACAAATATTTGAAAAATTACCACATTTTTCAATTTATATATATATATTTTTTTTTGTGGAAATAATATATTTTCGCCATGTGCCAACCATAAATCAAGATTTTATCACGTCTGCAAAGCAGATCTCAAATAAAATAAACTATTTTCCAAAAGAAAAAATTAATTAACAAATTAAATTGGCAAAAAGCGCATAGTGGCATTTTCTCACAGCATGAAACAAACACGCATTTTAAGTTAAGTGTGTTGCATAAATAAATAAATTAAAAATGCGATTTCGATATGCTGTGAAAAAATGCAATAAATTCACAAGAAACCAAAATAAATAAAAGAAAAAGAAAATAAAATTAATCAAAATTATTTGCAAATAAATTCACATAAAAAGAAATAAAAAATGGAAAGCAAAAAATTTACTGCACAAAAATGGCATTTTACCATTTTTGTTCAACTAATCGCTGGCAATTGACAGTTTTCGTGCAATATCGTTTTTTCCAACTCCTTTTCGGCCAAATGCATTTTATTTTGTTAAGAAAAATTCACGTAGAAAAAAATTGAGAAAAATTGAATCAGTCGCCGAGTTGAAAAAGATAACCGCTAATAAAAAAATATACACACGTATACGTATATATATAAAGCAGCAAAAATTTTTTTTTTTAAAATTAAATAATACATTAAAAACAAATAAAAAAAAATTTAAAAAATAATAAAACAAAATAATTGAATAAAAAATAAAAAGATAATACAATAAAAAATTTAATAAAATATTTAAATTAATACATTAAAAACAATTCAATAAAAAATTAAAAAAATAATAAAACAAAATAATTGAATAAAAAAATAAAAAGATAATACAATAAAAAATTTAATAAAATATTTAAAAAATAATAAAATAAAATAGTTGAATAAAAATATGTTTCAAACTTAAAAAATATTAAATATGAAAAGACAAAGAATTTGAAAAAACTTAAGAACAAAAAAATAGAAATATTGAAAATATTAAATTAAAATGAAACAAAAAATTTAAGCATTTATTAATTCACTAAATTCCTTGTTGTTATTATCCAGGTAAGATAATTCATATGGGTTTTTACCGCAGTTGCTAGCAGAAATTAGTGAATAACGCGACGCGGTGATGGTTTTTATTGGTTTTATATACTGAATTCCTATATACCCTGCAGTGGAAAACCCAACTGTTATGCAAAAATTCTAGTTAAATACTAGTATGTTGAAGATGAAATCATACCAGTTCGTTATTTGTAAAGAAGTCCACCATTAATGGCAGAATTAACAATTTTCTCCACTGTTTGTTGTTGTTATATCGGTAGACCACGGCTGAATTTCATTCGCTACTCTATTCTATTGAAGTACTCAAAATGACAGTGATCGTTGAATCGTCATGATAACCGAGTGGTTAGAGACTATCGCTGTAACGCGTTAAGTCGCCAGTTTGAGTCCCACTAGAGGCAAATTAATTTTTAATTTTAATATTTTTAAATTTTTGGTGAAACAGAAATTTTCACCTCCACGTCTTTCGTATGCTGTTTTTGTTTTTAGTATCAAACTGAAGTTATTGATTTAGTTTGATTGATTTAGGTGTTTTTTTGGTGAAGTAGAAATTCAACAAGCCTAAATGAACTTGTATTTAACTAGTATGAAGCTGATGTATAGTAGGACAATTGTCAGCTCGTAGGACATCGCCGTGTTAAAAACACCAGTTGCTTACATGGAAAATGGATGGACGACGAACTAGTTGGTGTAAAAATGTGAACTAGTTGAATTCTAGTTGACAACTAGTATCCCTGCAGGGAAAAATACATACCATTGTATGTATGTATATGCATGTGTATAGCGTATAAAAAATAGACAACTATAATTGTTGCATGAATTTGAAAATGGGTGTTAAAGTTTCCACACATGCAATAAATTAAGTGAAAACAAATAGACCTATACTTTTTTAAATACATACATATATCTGTACATATACCCTGCAGAGAAAAGGTAGACTAGTTCGTTATAATCCGGCATTATACTAGTATTTAAATTACAAAAATATTCTAGTTTGCCATAGACTAGAATTATACTAGTAATTTTTGGTAAAATCTCGACTAGTTTGCAAATAAACTAGTATGTAAACTAGTATCTTTTTTGTCGTTTTGCAAAAAAAAACAGGACTCTTAGGTAACAAAAAACTCTGACCACTACAGCATTCACAACAACTAAATAGTAGGTCAAGTAAAAAGATCATACGGTTTTTCTATTGATTTTTCAAAATATGATAACTTTGTGTACATTTGTCCGATTTAGGTCAAATATGCGTCGTTTTTTCGTTAACTTATTGCCAACGAGATGCAAACTTCATTATACCCCTCTCGTAGAAGGCTGCGCTTTGCCATTGGCAAAAAACTAGGAGAGCCAATTTTCCCAGACATCTTTTGAGGCCATCTTCTCACCATTAAGTGCGTTCGCCATGAAGAGGAAAAGATGGTAATCACTTGGTGTAAGGTCCAAACTATAAGGTGGGTGCATTAGGACCTCCCATTCGAGCTTATGGAGCTTCTGGCGCGTCACCAAAGTCGTGTGTGGCCTGGCGTTGTCCTGATGAAACACAATTCGGACTCTGTTGATCAAAGATGGCCTCTTCTGGATGAGTGCTGCCTTCAAGCTGTCCATTTGTTGGCAATAGAGGGTCGAATTGATCGTTTGGCCATAGAGGATCAGCTCGTAGTAGATGATTCCTTGCCAATCCCACCAAACACACAGCAAAACCTTTCTGGACGTCAATCCGGCCTTGGCCACCGTCTGGGCCGCTTTCCCGGGCTTTGAACACGACCGTTTGCACTCGATGTTATCGTAAGTGACCCATTTTTCATCACCAGTCACAATCCGCTTCAGAAACGAGTCGATTTTGTTGCGATTCAGCAGCGATTCGCAGATGGAAATTCGATCCATTATGTTTTTTTTGCGTTTGTTCGTGTGGCACCCAAGCATCGAGCTTCTTTTTGAATCCAAGGTTATGCAAATAGTTCCAAATGGTTTTCTGGCTTATCTTTAGTTCCTCAGCAGTTAAATAAACTACTAGAAATGTTCATTTTACACGGGTGTGTTGCCAGTAGGTCGTGGTCCACAGTTATTTCTAGACTACATGAGAAAAAAAGAGTGTCAGCGATTGGTAGCTGTCATTGGTAGTCACAGGTATTCAGTCCATTATATTATGATCCACTTTGTAGCGCTCTGCGAAGTTTATAACACAAAATCTTTAGCATCTTTCGTATTTCATTTAGCCAGGCGGACGGCACTTTTGCCAATATCATGAACTATATCGTTGGCCATAATGATCTTGTAGCCTGGAACCTAATTGATAAACACTTGCTTTTCAGCAGTCATATAAGTCCCTGACTGCCTGTTCCTGATTAAATTTTTTGACTGTGGATGACGTTGTGTGTTCTTCACAGGTGGTTCATTTCTGCTGTGAACAACTGTTGCATATTTTGGGCATTTTGTGTGAATTCTAGTAATATTCAGTTGTTCATAACATATCAAAATTTTCCCTAGCTAATTGCTTAATTGTTAAAATATGTAGTTAAATTTAGTTTTGATGCACTCAAGCAGACATATGTACGACTATGTATTGTACATATATTTCCCCATGTGCCTTCTTGACTACTCGTACTCGTACTCGCTCGTTCGTACTCGCTGCTCGTACAACTGTTGACCATTACAGTCACGCCGAGTTTGTTGTCATGTCAAAATTGTTAATTGGATTAACTAAAGTTGACAAGTGCATTAAATTACACTAAAATAGCTAATAAACAAAACACGAAAACCGAACGAAAAAAAAACACACACAAAAGCAAACCAACAAAAAAAAAACAAAATAATATTTTTGGCTTGCCATTTTGTGGTTTACTCTGTGTGACGACCGAAAATGTTTTGTTAGTTAAATGGACAGATTGCAATTGCCTACACGCTAAAGTGTTGTTTTTTGCCGCGAATAGCGATGGTTGGTTGGCCGATTGTAATTAAAAGGCGATTGCATACATATAATATTATATATAGTAAAATTCTTGATGTTGTTGGTGTTGTTGATTGTCATGCAGTTTGCTGTGGTGTTAACTAGACTTTTACACAATTTAAACATTACTGTTACATAGTGAAAAAATAATAACAAAGTGAAGCAGCAGGTGTAGTGTATAGACGCTGCAGTGAATAGTAGGAATAGTTACTTAACTAGTGATTGTGAGATATTAACATGGACTACTTTTGCGTAAAATTATTTTTAGAAAATTGAATCTTAATTTACCGCTACACGCGCCGTTATCACACACACAGGTTTCTTACGCATTTTTGTGAGGCGGCAGAAAAGAAATTGATTTTTCGTCTTTTAATTTCTTATTTCATAACTGTATTTTGTTGTTGTTTTCACTAATATAGTTATCGAAGAAGCTTAATATTAGGCTAAGTAATGAGTAATTCATTATTTTTTCAATTAAATGGTAGGTTTTATTGGTGTGCGGTCCGGACTATAAGATATATACATAGGAACCTCCCAACCAAGCCCTCGAACTTCTTACGAGTCACTATCGATATGTGTTTACTGGCTTTGTCCTGATGAAACCCAATTCTCCCTCTGTTGGACAGAGCTAAGCGCTTTTGGGCGATTGCTTCCTTTAGATGGTCTAAATGCTGACCGGACAAGTCCAAATAAAGAGTTTGGGATTGTAAGAGCGTAGCTAACAGATCATGATTCCCTGCTAATTCCAGCAAACACACAACAAAAACTTCCTGGCCGTCAATCCTGACTTGTATACCGTTTGTGTCGGCTTGCTG